GATGCCACTGGGGGCTGCTGGTCAGGAGCTGTGTATTCTGAGCCTGCTACAATCCCTGGCTTCTGTAGCTGCTACTTTTTGAACATTTGTGGGGTGCTCTTGCTGGCTGGCTGAGCTGAACCAGTGGGCAGGGGGAGGGGTGCTTTCTTTTGTGTGCATGATCCTGGGGACCTTCTCTCTCTGCCCTTGCTATCTGCTGTTCTGGGGTGCTGAGTTGATGAAGACACCCCTGCAATACTTAGCCTCCTCTTTGTGGGGTTTTCCCACCAGCTGTGAGGGAACTTGGAGAGCGAATGCATTCCTGCTAAGGGCCAACCTTCCCCCCTCTTTTCTCATAGCCGTGTGCCTGGGATCCTGCACTCTGGGTTGCTGTTGGGGAAGGAGAGGAGTTCCCCTTGCCTCCTTCCACTTCTTCCCAGGGAGTCCAGACATATGGACTTCAGACCTTCAGACATATGGCTCTGTGGGTCTCTCAGGTGTCTTTTGTATTGTGTGATTGTCCTTTCTTAGTGTATGAATGTCTTTTTTCTTGTATCTTAGTGGGGAGAGTCTAAGGGAAGAGCTCACTCCACCATCAGGCAGATGTCACTCCCTGTAGGTTGCTAGTTTTATTTTTACCTTTCAGATAATTTTTTTTTTCATTTTTATGGCCTGTTTTTCTTCCTGGCTCCTGTGCAGAGTTCCCTCACATCCGGTACTTGTACTTTTACCTCCTCAGTTTCTTTCACCTCCTCAGTTTCTTTCCTTGGGAGCCATCTGATTCACTACTGGTTTCAGTTACCACCAAAATGCCAGTGACTCCCCTGTCCTCACCTTCATCTTGGGCTTCTCTCCTGAGATTCAGGACCACACATCTAGTTGCTTACTGGAGATCTCTGTCTACCTGTTCTGCAGACACTTCAAGTACAACTTGTCCAAGACCTTATGTAACTCTTGTTTCTTCCCAACCTCTTTCTCATGCTTCCCAGTCTTTGCAAATAGCACCTGCATTTACTAGGTTGCTCGTAAAGATACCCTGGGAGGCAGTTTCCTCAGTTTTCTTTTTGTGCCGTGGATGTGGGACCAAAATCTCTTAATGTGTTATTTTGTAGGATCAGTTCTTTCCAGGAATTAGCGGCCATTTTTTTGTAAGGAGCCAGACAGCAAATATTTTAGGCTTTGTGGGCCAAGAGATAAAATCAAGAGTATTATGTAGGTGCTTATTGAACAAGAGAGTGAATAAATTTCCACCAATTTTTTTGTTGATCAAATTCAAAATGGTATAATGATTGAGTGTTGTGTTTTGTAATGCGGGTCTAGTAATGAGAAAAATGAAATTCTTTTGGGGTGGATAACATTTTGCTTAATTGAGAATCTTTGTTAGTTTTTCCAAATATCATCAAAATCTATTGCAAATCTTCATCTGTTAATGTCAAACTGTAATGAGCTTTTACATATTTCATCCTTGGAAATGTTTTCATGCAGATAGGTACTGTCAATTACTGATATCAGTCCACAATATATGATTTTAATTTATCAGCATATTCCTCATTTGTAAGCCATTTGTAGAAGTCTTTCAAATTCTTCTCTTGACATTTGCCTTATAGCTTGTCATTATGTTGCAGATTAATCACTTCCAACTGGAGGTTAGGTGGAATCTCTTTAACTGGGCAGTTAAATGGATTTTGAAATATGGAAATATCATATGATTTGCATTGAGGTCCACAAAATGCCACTGAAAATGTAGTTTGAGCTCAGAAAATATATCCACTGCAAATTGGTTAGTGGAGATCCCAATTCTTGCTTAAACTTTTGACAGCATTGAATGTGCTGCTTGACATTAGTTGTGATTCTAATAATATCAGTTATTGAAATGACTCTCATATTATAAAATTTGTGCAAGTGCCATTCTACTCTGTAATTTTGGGTTGAATTTGTTAAGAGACATTATTATATTTTCAGGAAGAGCTAATTTCCAAACCTGTTCAGTATTTGGTATAATAGATGTTAAGGGATATTCTCATTCAGAAACAATTCAGTTTCAGCCTTGAGCTCAAAGAATCACAAAATTTTATCATTGCTAAGCCATTGCAATACTGTGTGGAAAGGCAAGTGAAGAGATTCAACTTCTAGTTCTGACTGTAATTCATGGAAGTGACCATGGTTATGTCTGTGAGAGCGAATGAAGTTTACCATTGCCATTGCTGGTTCAATTATCAATCATGATAGATTCAAAATTTTTCTGTAAAGTGCTTATTGATGAGTAGTACAGTGAATCACCATAGGCTTTAGACAGCTTACCTTTTCATAGTCTTTATAAATTTGTCCCACTAAGGCTTTTTCTGCTGTACGTATGTTTACATTATCATCAGTTGTAACACATCCTAGCAGATTCCACTTCAGTTGGTACTGAATTAGTGTTTTCTCAACCTGTTTGAGAATATTCTCTCCTGTATTTCCACAGAGACTGGTTATTGGAATGAATTCTCTAGTTACTTCAAACTTAATATTGACATTCTGAAGAAACAATAACAACTGAACAGTATTGTTAACATCTTTTGACTCATCAAGAGCAAGGAAAACAACTTGATCATTTGCCTTATTTTTTAATTAACTATTGATATTGCTTCCAGTGTCCTCAATTCTGTGAGCAACTCTTCTCATCAAGAGGCTAATAGTCATAAACAGGTTTATTTTCTCTGGACACATTTCTTTAGCTATTTTTATCAAATAAGATTTAATTAACTCACCATTAGTAAGTGGTTTCCTTGCTTGACTATGAAATGAGACACTCAGAAATGCAACCTTATTTTCATTTTTAATTTTTGTGAAGAAATTCTGCTGTGATGAGATATTCTGTTTTAAATGATCACATTTTTCAGACTAGTACTTTCCCGTGAGTTGGAAATACAGTTGTTGAATGCTTACTCTGGTAATGTCAACCTATATGGTGTTCTTTTTAGCACAGCTATGACATCATTCCATAATAAACACAATGCTTTGCCATCTAATTTGACAAGAAAATACTACATACTCTACTGTTCCTTAAAAATGTGACATTCAAAGTCCACTTTTCATTGCAATGAAAAAAGAAAGAAATACAATTGAGAAACTGGGAAACAGTCACAAAATATATTTAACAAAAAAGAAGAAAAGAAACCGAATTTTGATCTAGGCCTTTGAATTCCTATCTCACAAAACGTTAAAGCCAGATTAAAAAAAATAAAGTATATTAAATAAGTTGGTTGGTCTCAACAATATACATATTTTTTTAAGATTTTATTTTTTTCCTTTTTCTCCCCAAAGCCCCCTGGTACATTGTTGTATATTCTTCGTTGTGGGTCCTTCTAGTTGTGGCATGTGGGACGCTGCCTCAGCGTGGTCTGATGAGCAGAGCCATGTCCGCACGCAGGATTTGAACCAACGAAACACTGGGCCGCCTGCAGCGGAGCGCGCGAACCCAACCACTCGGCCACGGGGCCAGCCCCGGTCTCAACAATATTTTTAAGATGAGAGAGAACATAAAGGTCTTCTGAATCTTTAATAAATAAAATATTTTAATGTTTTAAAAACAAACAAAAAAACAAAGTCCACTTTTCTTGTTTTGACACAATGTACACTGGTAATAATAAAAGTAAAATAAAATGACTTAATATGGCGGCCAGGCACTCAAAATGCCGTGAAGTTATAAGTGCATCCCTGTGATGTGTAGTGTGCCAAGCAGCAATGCACAGCAGTGAGAGTGCCACATACAGTCTCTTGCAAGTACTCAACTCTGCCTGTTTCTGTGGTGTGAAAGTAGCTGTAGACAATACATAATCAAATCAGCATGGTTGTAGTCTAATAAAATTTTATGCACACTGAAATTGGAATTGTATATAATTTTCATGTGTCACAAAATGTTCCTTTGCTTTTTCCCCCCAACCGTTTAAAAATGTAAAACCTATTCTTAGTTTGCAGGCTGTGAAAAATGGGGCTGGACATTTTTGGCTTATGAGTCATAGTTTGCCAACTCCTGCCCACTCTTACCACCTGAGTATAGGTTCTTCTCTCCCTCTGGTCTTTGCCCTCTGTTTCCTCTTAAGCCATTCTCCACTCTTGTTTAAATCATTGCTTCTGAAATGCAAGTCTGGATGTAGAAGTACAGTGCTTAGTTTACCTTTCCACTAGCTCCTCGTTATCCACAGTTGTGATCCAGAAGTGGAATGGAGGTATATACCTTAGGGAGCACTTAGGGAAAATCAGCATATCAGAAGAAAATACTAGCATATCTATTTACATATATTTGTATTAAAAAACAGGAAATTTCCTAGTACAGGTATGTAACTTATGATAAAATATTTTGAGGACCTCTGGGCAATAGGAATTAGTACCAAATTACTTATAATCTTGCTCCTGATTTTGCTTATGGATCTTTATTTTAATACTGCTCAAATCCTTCCACCAACAAACTATGCTATTTGTAGTTGCATTAACTTGCATAGAGTTTTCAATGCCTCCAGGCCTTTGCTTTGTTGGACCCATAACCATAAGAACACATGATTGATTTGTAAGGACTCAAAGTTTTACTTCGCTAAGGTATCCCAATCTCATTTATAAATAGAACTTAATACCTCTCTTCCTGTGCAACCACTATCTTCTAGATAATTCTAGCATTTGTTCTGTAACACTTTATTGCAGGTATACATTTTTTGAATATGTCCCTGAATCATGATGAGCTCCCTGAAAGCAGGATTTTTAAAAATTCACTTTTATATCCCCAGAATGTGAGACAGTTCCAGGCACAGTGGGGAACCTCAGTTTGTTTTTTCATGAATCAAGAAATTAATATGTGGTTAGGGTACTTCTGTGATTTTTTGTTTTCCCACAACATGTAATGCCAAATAAAGTATAGAGTAGATGTGCTGTGTGATATTTTCTCTTCATCTATCAACAGTGAACACGACAAGGTGTTAGATCCCAAACATACTGCATGTTGTCTAGTTCTGGACTGTAAATTGAACACAAATGTGCTATTACAGGGGTCTGTGTCATTCAAGGATGTGACTGTGGCCTTCACCCAGGAGGAGTGGCAGCACCTGGACCCTGCTCAGAGGACCTTGTACAGGGACGTGATGGAGAACTACAGCCACCTCGTCTCGGTGGGTAGGGTTTGTGTTTTATATAATTCCAAATAGCATTTTTTTTAAATTGCTGATTACATGATCCTTTTTAGAGTTTAATGATTTTTAGAGTTGAAATGTAGGGTTCAAAGGTGACCCCTGGGCTCTAGGTATAAGGTGATTGATCCCTTTTGGTTGCTAGAGAAAACAATTTTCTCCCTCTTCCCAGTGAAAAGTTTAAATGGTGCTTTTGTTTACAGTTTTTTTTTTTTTTTTTAAGATTGGCACCCGAGCTAACATCTGTTGTCAATCTTCTTGTTTTTCCTTCCTCTTTCCAAAGCTCCCCAGTACACAGTTGTATATTCTAGTTGTAGTCCTTCTGATTCTGCTTTGTGGGATGCTATCTCAGCATGGCTTGATGAGCCGTGCTGGGTCTGCGCCCAGGATCCCAACTGGTGAAACCCCGGGCCACCAAAGCGGATCACGTGAACTTAACCACTCGGCCACAGGGCCAGCCCCTGTTGTACAGCTTCCTACCTTTCTCCTTTAGAGGCCCTGAAACCCATGAGCCTGGCCCATGTCCTGTGTCATTTCCTGTTTACAGGATATTGCATTACCAAGCCAGAGGTGGTCTTCAAGTTGGAGCAAGGAGAGGAGCCATGGGTATTAGAGGATGAGTCCTCAAGCCAAAGTCCCCCTGGTGAGTGAAGTGAGTACCTAAACAGCCGCAAGGCAAGAGACGTTGGAATCCAGTCACGTCAGGGGTTGGCCCTTTTGAGATTTTCTTTTAGGAATTTGTTTTTTAGAGACACCACTTCTTAAGTTGGCTGAGAGTATACACACTTGCAGGTAATGATCTCATAGCTGAATGTTTTTGGTTTTTTGCTTGAATTTTTTAAGCAGATTTACCATTTTTAGTGCTTACAAAAATCCAATTCTTGCCTATCTAATTTTAGATCTTTTTAAAATTTATTCCCTCCATATTCTTTTAATTGTGTATCATTTTAGTTGTGTACCATTTATCCATTCATTAAACATTAAATTATTTATTAATTTATATCTAGTTATGTCTATCAGCTGGAAATAGACCTGTGGACAATATTATGATCCTGTTGTTACGGAGTCTGTGTTTTTATTTTGGAGGAAAGTAAAATATGGTGTATTATTTTAGCAAATGTTTTACTCTCCTACACAACTACACAACACACACAACATAACTACAGTGTCAGTAGATATTTAAAAGTTTATATGAGACTATTATGAACAACTTCATGCTGATAAATTTGAAAAATTTAGAGTGGAAAAATTCCTAGAAAACTAGAATTTGCCAAAACAGAAAAAAAGCAATACGAAGCCCTAATAATTTCAAAACCATTATAGGAATTGAGTCAGTTCTTAAAATCTTTCCAGAAAGAATACAAATTACAAGATTGTTTTTTAGGCAGGTTCTAAGCAATTTTAAAGAATCAGATCATTTTAATATCCTACAATTACTTTCAGAGATTAGAATAAGAGAAGAAGCACTCCCAAGAATTTACTATGAAACTGGTATAACATCAACACAAAAATCTTACAAGATAAAAGCAAGAATGGATAATTCCAAAATTAGGAATCCTAAACAAAGTATCATTAATAAAAAGTAAATCCATGTCGTCTTAATAGATGAAGAATATAACTGATAAAAATCAACACCCATTTTTGATATGATAGAAGGAAACTTCTTCAGGCTTCAAAGGGAACGGACAGGAGCCTGTGTCGGGTATCATTCCCCTTCAAACTGGAGGAAAATCAGATTTCCACTCTCATCATTGTATTTAATATTGTTCTAAGGACCCTAACCATAATAATCAGACAAAACGTGAAATTAATAAAAGTTACAAACATTGGAAAACCAAACGTATTTACAGATGCTATGGTTGTCCTATTGAAAAAAGGATTCTGCTGACAAATGATTAAAAATAATGCGAGTATATAGCAAGGTGGATGAATATAAGATCATTGTATACAATCTATTACGTTTCTGAGTGGTAATAATCTTTAGAAAATATAATTGAAAGAATTTAAACCATTTACAATAGCAAGACCTTTAATGCGGAAGATAAGAAAAATGTATTGAAAGACGTTAAAGGAAATCTAAATATGGAGATAGGGAACATTCAATAATAGCAAGTTGTCAAGCCCTCCTTAAAGTTACCTGTAGATTCAATGCATTCCAATCCAAGTCCCCACCATTTTAGTTTATTTTTTTGAGATTTGACTTGGTTGGTTGTTGTTTTTAGCACTTAATCTCATAATTCTAAAATTAGGTATGGAATAACAAGAATAAGAAAAAGAAACAGGAAGGGGAACTAGGTCTCCTAGATGTTAAAATTTATTGTAATGCATCTGCAATTAAGACTAAATTTTTTTTTATTGAAGCAAAATTCATATAACATAAAATTTTTACAGTTTTAACCATTTTAAAGTGTATCATTGAATGACTTCTAGTACGTTCAAAGTGTTGTTTAATCATCACTACTATGTATCTCTGGAATATTTTCATCACCCCAAAAGAAACCCCATACTCATTAAGTAATCCTTGTTCTCTCTATGGGTTTGCTTGTGCTGGACATTTCACATACAGAGAATCATACAATATGTGGTCCTTTTATGTCTGGTTTCTTTCACTTAGAGTAATGTTTTCAAGTTTTATTCATGCTGTAGCTTCTATCAGTACTTCCTTTTTATGGCTTAATAACATTCAATTGTATGAATATACCACATTTTGTTTATCCATTCAAAAGTTAATAGACATTTGGGTTGTTTCCACTTTTTGGCTGTTATCAATAATGCTGCTGCTATGAATATCAATGTACAAGTTTTTGGTTGAACACCTGTCTTCCGTTCTCTTACATATATATTTAGGAGTGGACTTACTGGGTAATATGGAAATTTTATGTTTACTTGTTAGAGGAACAAGTACCAAACTGTTTTCTGTAGTGGCTACACCATTTTACATTCCTTCTTCTAATGTATGAGGGTTCCACTTTCGACACATCCTCGCAGCACTTGTAATTTTCTGTTTTTTCATTACAGTTGTCTCATGGTATATCTGGAGGATTGGTTCCAGGAACCACCATGGATACCAATATCTGCGGATGCTCAAGTTCCTTATATAAAATAGGTAGTGCAATGAATACAGTTGGACTCTGTGTCCGCAGGTTTCGCATCTGTGGATTCAGCCAACCATGAATTGCACCAATCTGCACTTGGTTGAATACATGGATGGCAAAACCTGTGGATAAAAAGAGCCAACTGCATAGCCATTCTAGTGGGTGTGAAGTTATATCACATTATGGTTTTGGTGTGCATTTCCTTAATGACTAATGATGTTTAGTATCTTTTATGTGCTTATTGGCATTAGTATATCTTGTTTGGAGAAGTGTCTAATCAAGTCCTTTGCCTATTTTTCAATTGGGTTATTTGTCTTTTTGTTATTGAGTTGTAAGTTCTCTTTGTATATTCTGAATCCTAGACTATCAGATATATTATTTGTAAATATTGTTCCCATTTTTTGCATTATGTTTTCACTTTTCAGATAGTGTCTTTTGATGCATAAAAGCTTTTAATTTTTATGAAATCCAACTTAGCTGTTTTCTCTTGTTGCTTTTGCTTTTGGTGTAAATTTAAGAATCCATTGCTAAGTCCAAGGTCTTAAAGATTTACACGTATGTTTTCTTCTAAGAGTTTTATAATTTTAACTTTTATATCTAGATCTTTGATCCATTTTGAGTTAATTTTTGTATTTGATATAAGGGAGAGATCTAGCTTCATTCTTTTGTGTGTGGATATCCAGTTATCCCACTACCATTTGTTGAAGAGATTGTTCTTTCCCCATTGAATGATCTTGGCACCATTTTTGAAGATTGATTGACCATGGATGTGTGGGCTTATTTCTTGTCTCCTAGATGTTAAAATTTATTGTAATGCTCTATTCCATTGATCTATATATCTATCCTTATACCAGTACAATGCTGTTTTAATTAATGTAGCTTTATAGTAAGTTTTGCAATTGAGAAGTATGAGTACTCCAACTTTGTTCTTATTTTTTATTTATTTGTTTTTTTTATTGCAGTAACATTGGCTTACAACTATATAAATTTTCAGGTGTACATCATTATATTTCAATTTCTGTGTAGATTACATCATGTTCACCACCCAAGGACTAATTACCATCCATCACCATATGCATGTGCCTAATCACCTCTTTTGCCCTCCTCCCTCCCCACTTCCTCTCTGGTAGCCACCAATCCAATGTCTGTGTCTATGTGTTTGTTTGTTGTTATTTTTATTTTTTATTTATGAGTGAGATTGTACATTATTTGATTTTCTCCCTCTGACTTAATTTGCTTAGCATAAAACACTCACGATCCATTCATGTTGTCACAAACGGCCAGATTTCATCTTTTTTTATGGTTGAATAGTATTCCTCTGTGTATATATACCACATCTTCTTTATCCATTTGTACCTTGATGGGCACCTAGGTTGCTTCCAAGTCTTGGCTATTGTGAATAATACTGCAGTGAACATAGGAGTCCATATGTCTTTATGCATTCATATTTTCATGTTCTTTGTGTAAATACCCAGCAGTGGAATAGCTGGATCATATGGTAGTTCTATTATTAATTTTTTGAGGAATCTCCATACTGTTTTCCATAGTGGCTGTACCAGTTTGCACTCCCACTAGCAGTGTATGAGAGTTGCCTTCTCTCCACATCCTCTCCAACACTTATTTCCTGTCTTGTTAATTATAGCCATTCTTACTGGCATGAGGTGATATCTCATTGTAGTTTTGATTTGCATTTCCTCGATAGTTAGTGGTGCTGAACATCTTTTCATGTGTCTCTGTATATCTTCTTTGGAGAAACATCTGTTGAGATCTTTTGCCTATTTTTTAAATTGGATTGTTAGTATTTTTGTTGTTGAAATATATGAGTTCTTTATATATTTTGGATATTAACCCTGTATCAGATATATGGTTTGCAAATATCTTCTCCCAATTGTTATGTTGTCTTTTCATTTTGTTGATGGTTTCCTTTACTGTGCAGAAGTTTTTTAGTTTGATGTAGTCCTATTTGTTTATTTTTTCTATTGTTTCCCTTACCCAGTCAGACAAGGTACTTGAAAATATGCTGCTAAGAGCAATGTTGAAGAGCGTACTGCCTGTGTTTCCTTCTAGAAATTTCATGGTTTCAGGTCTTACATTCAAGATTTTAATCCATTTTGAGTTAATTTTTGTGTATGGTGTAAGATAATGATCTACTTTCATTCTTTGGCACCTGGCTGTCCAGTTTTCCCAACACCATTTATTGAAGAGACTTCCCTTTCTCCATTTTATGTTCTTGGCTCCCTTGTTGAAAATTAGCTGTCCATAGATGTGTGGGTTTATTTCTGGACTCTCGATTCTGTTCCATGGATCTGTGTGTCTTGTTTTTCTGCCAGTACCTTGCTGTTTTCATTACTATAGCTTTGTGGTATATTTTGAAATCAGGATGTGTGATACCTCCAGCTTTGTTACTTTTTCTCAGGATTCCTTTGGCTATTTGGGGTCTTTTGTTATTCCATATAAATTTTAGAATTCTTTGTTCTATTTCTGTGAAAAATGTCCTTGGAACTTTGATAAGGATTGCATTGAATCTGTAGATTTCTTTAGGACGTATGGATGCTTTAACTATGTTAAGTCTTCCAATTCAAGAGCACAGAGTATCTTTCCATTTCTTTGCGTCTTCAATTTCTTTCTACAGTGTTTTATAGTTTTCATTGTACAGCGCTTTCACCTCTTTGGTTAAGTTTATTCCTAGGTATTTTATTCTTTTTGTTGTAATTGTAAATGGGATTGTATTCTTAGTTTCTCTTTCTGTTATTTCATTGTTAAGTGTATGCAAACACAACTGATTTTTGTATGTTGAATTTGTATCCCTCAACATTACCATATTCATTTATTTTTTATAAGAGTTTTTCAGTGGATTCTTTAGGGTTTTCTGTGTATAAAATCATGTCATCTGAAAATAGTGACAGTTTCACTTCTTCCTTTCCAATTTGGAACCCTTTTATTTCTTTTTCTTGACTGATTGCTCTGGCTAAGACTTCCAGTACTATGTCAAATAAGAGTGGTGAAAGTGGGCATCCTGGTCTTGTTCCTGTTCTTAGTGGGATAGCTTTCAGTTTTCTCCATTGAGAATGATATTAGCTGTGGGTTTGTCATAAATCGCCTTTATTATGTTGAGGTATTTTCCTTCTATACCAATTTTTTTCAGAGTTTTATCATAAATGGATGCTGTATCTTGTCAAATGCTTTCTCTGCATCTATTGAGATGATCATGTGATTTTTATTCTTCATTTTGTTAATGTTGTGCATCGTGTTAATTGATTTGTGGATGTTGAACCATGCCTGCATCCCTGGAATAAATCCCACTTGATCATGTTGTATGATCTTTTTAATGTATTGTTGTATTCGATTTGCTAGTTTCTTTTATTTGAGGAAGATTAGCCTTGGGCTAACATCCACCACCAATTCTCCTCTTTTTTGCTGAGGAGGATTGGCCCTGAGCTAATATCCTTGCCCATCTTCCTCTACTTTATATGTGGGATGCCTGCTACAGCATGGCTTGTAAAGTGGTGCGTAGGTCTGCGCCCAGGATCCGAACTGGTCAACACCGGGCCGCTGAAGTGGAGTGCATGAACTTAACTGCTACACCACCAGGCTGGCCCCATGATTTGCTAGTATTTTGTTGAGGATTTTTGCATCAATGTTCGTCACTGATATTGGCCTGCAATTTTCCTTTTTTGTGTTGTCCTGTCTGGTTTTTGTATCAGGGTGATATTGGGCTCATAGAATGTGTTAGGAAGCTTCCCCTCCTCTTCAATTTTTTGGGAGAGTTGAGAAGGATAGACAGTATTGTCTTTGAATGTTTGGTAAAATTCATCAGGGATGCTTTCTGGCCTTGGACTTTTATTTTTGGGGAGGTTTTTGATTACTGTTTTGATCTCCTTACTGATGATTGGTCTATTAAAATTCTCTATTTCTTCTTGATTCAGTTTTGGAAGGTTGTATGATTCTAAGAATTTATCCATTTCTTCTAGATTATCCAATTTGTTGGTGTGTAACTTTTTATAGTATTCTCTTATAATCTTTTGTATTTATGAGGTGTCCATTGTAATTTCTCCTCTTTCATTTACAATTTTATTTATTTGAGCCTCGTCTCTTTTTTTCATGGTGAGTCTAGCTAAAGGTTTGTCTATTTCGTTTATCTTTTCAAAGAACCAGCTCTTTGTTTCATTGATTTTTTTCTATTGTTTTGTCAGCCTCTATTTCATTTATTTCTGCTCTGATTTTTATTATTTCCTTCCTTCTACTGACTTTGGGCTTTGTTTATTCTTCTTTTTCTGCTTCCTTTAGTTGCACTGTTAGATTGTTGATTTGAGATTTTTTTGTTTGTTGAGGTAGGCCTGAATTGCTATAGACTTCCCTCTTAGAACTGCTTTTGCTGTATCCCATACATTTTGGCATGTTATATTTTCATTTTCATTTTTCTCCAGGTACTTTTTGATTTCTTGTTTGATTTCTTCATTGACCTAATCGTTGTTCAGTAGCATTTTGTTTAATCTCCATGTATTTGTTGCTTTTCCAATTTTCTTCCTGTAGTTGATTTCTAGTTTCATATCTTAGTGGTCAGAAAAGATGCTTGGTATTATTTCAGTCTTCTTAAATTTATTGAGACTTGTTTTGTGGCCTAATATGTGATCTATCCTGGAGAACATTCCATGTGCTTTTGAAAAGATTATGTATTCTGTGGTTTTGGATGGAATATTCTGTCTGTATCTACTGAGTCCATCTGGTACATCTGGTCTAATGTATCATTTAAGGCCATTGTTTCCTTATTGATCTTCTCTTTGGACGATCTATCCATTGGTGTAAGTGGAGTGTTAAAGTACCCTACTGTTATTGTGTTACTGTCTATTTCTCCTTTTACATCTGTTAATAATTGCTTTATATATTTAGGTGATCTTCTGTTGGGTTCATAGATATTTACAAGCATTATATGCTCTTGTTGGATTGTTGTGTTTATCATTATCTAGTGCCATTCTTTGTCTCTTGTTACAGTTTTTGTTTTAAAGTCTATTTCATCTAAGTATTGCTATCCCACCTTTCTCTTCTTTGCCGTTTGCATGGAATATCTTTTTCCATCCTTTCACTTTCAGTTTTTGAGTGTCTTTAGGTCTGAAGTGTGTTTCTTGTATGCAGCATATGTTTGGGTTTTACTTTTTTATCCAATTGGCTAACCTATCCCTTTTGATTTGAGCATATAGTCCATTGACATTTAAAGTGGCTATTGATAAGAATGTACTTATTGCCATTTTGTTACTTTTTTTCTGGGTGTTTTAGTAGTTCTTCTCTGTTCCTTTCTTCTCTTGCTGACTCCCCTTGTGGTTTGATGGCTTTCTTTAGTATTATGTTTGAGTTCCTTTGCTTAATTCTTTCTGTATTTATTATAGGTTTCTGGTTTGTGATTACCATGAGGTTCATATATAACAACCCAAGTATATAGGAATCTATATTAAGTTGATGGTCTCTGGTCTCTTCAGTTTGACCTTTTTCTAAAAGCTTTACTCTTTCACTCGTCTCCTCCAACATTTTATGTTTTTGATATCATATCTAATCTCTTTTTTTGTGCATGTGTATCCATCACCCTCTTATCATGGCAATAGATCGTTTTAGTACTTTTGTCTTTTGACCTTCATATTAGCTTTGTAAGTGGTTGATCTGCTACCTTTACTCTATATTTGCCTTTTGCAGTGATTTTATTTTATTTATTTATTTTTTGGAGAATTTTCTTATTCCTATTTGTGGTCGTCTCTTTCCCACTTAAATAAGTCCCTTTACCCTTTCTTGTAAGGCTGGTTTCTTGGTGACAAACTCCTTTAACTTTTGCTTGTCTGGGAAACTCTTTCTACTTCCATTCTGAATGATAACCTTGTTGGTTAGATTATTCTTGGTTGTAGGCTTTTTCCTTTCAGCACTTTAAATATATCATGCCACTCCCTTCTACCCAGTGAAATTTCTGCTGAGAAGTCAGCTGATAGCCTTATGGGGTTTCCTTTGTATGTAACTTGTTGCCTTCCTCTTGCAGCTTTTAGGATTCTCTCTTATCTTTAATTCTTGACATTTGAATTATATTGTGTCTTGGTGTGGGCCTCTTTGGGTTGATCTTATTTGTTGCTCTCTGTGTTTCCAGTACCTGGATGTCTGTTTCCTTCCTTAGGTTAGGAAAGTTTTCAGCTGTTATTTCTTCAAATAGATTCTCTGCCCCTTTGTCTCTCTCTTCTCCTTCTGGAACGCCTATAATATGGATGTTAGTGCATTTGATGTTGTCCCAGAAGTCCCTTAGACTCTCCTCCTTCTTTTTAATTATTTTTCCTTTGTCTGTTCAGCTGGGGTGATTTCCTCTAATCTTTTGTCCAGCTCACTGACCCATTCTTCTGTATCATCCACTCTGCTATTGAGTCCCTCTAGTAAATTTTTCATTTCCAGTATTGTATTCTTCATTTATGATTGGTTCTTTTTTATATTTTCCAATTTTTTGTTGAAGTTCTCACTGAGTTCATCCATTTTTCTCCCAAGATCAGTGAGCATCCTTATGACCATTAGTTTGCACTCTTTATCAAGTAGATTGTTTATCTCAGTTTCGTTTAGTTTTTTTTTCTGTGGTTTTGTCCTGTTCCCTTACTTGGAATGTATTCCTTTGTCTCCTCACCTTGCCTCTTTTTCTGTGCTTATATCTCTATGTTAGGAAGATCAGCTACATCTGATCTTGGAGAGGTGGCCTTATGTAAGAGATGCCTTATGAGGCCCAACAGTGGCTTCCCTCTTGTCACCAGTTCCAAATGTCCAAGGAGTGTCCCCTGTGTGAGCTACATGTGTCCATCTGTTATGGCAAGGTTCTTGCTGCAGGTGCCTGGGGAGGCTAGCCTGTCCCCCTGGCCGGCTGATTGTAATGCTCAGGTTTGTGTGGCTGCTATGGTCTCTTCAGCTGTTTTATTGGGCATGGGGAACCCCAGCACAGTTGACTGCAAGGTCTAATAACACATTCCTGTTCCACTTTTTCTATTAAGTGACTAGGCCCCCAGCATGACTGGTTGCTAGGCTCAGGGGCTTAAATTGCTATAGGCCTCCTGCCTGCAAGGCTCTTGTCAGCTCTCTCAGGATTGCAGCTCAGTGGGACTGGTCCCAGGCATGGGAGCACACAATTGTTTCAGGCTTTGGAAGGTGAGGCCAATCTCCTATGTGGCTCTTTGAGAAGCACTAATCTGCTGTAGCTGACAAGCCCCACTACCCAGAGGTCTACACACCCCATCAATGCAGGCCTGCCCCTTGTGCATGCCCTGCCCCACAGAGGTGGACCCACTCTTCTGGCTGCAGAGGTTCCAGGCACCCAGCCTATGCTGGCCCACAAGTTGCCCGAGAGCTTGCTGCTGGGTGGGGCCAATCCCTAGTGCAGGCTGCCTGCCCTGGCTGAGCTGGATTAGATTGATGCTCTAGTGGGTGGGGCAGACCCCTGCACTAACAGGCCGGGGGAAGAACTCCAATAGCATCTGGCAGTGTCTGTGTCAGTGCACCTGTACTAGGTCACAACAATGGCTGCTGCCAATGTTTCAGTCCCTGGGGAGGTGGTCCCAGCCTTGGGGGTGTGTGTCTCACCTCTCACTGAGATGCACCCAGAGCCTATCAGGTGACTTTCTTTTCACCAAAGGACTGTGCACCTTTCTTTCTGGTGATTTTAGGTTGCTTTCCAAAATGGGTAAATTTGTGTACGGGCCCTTTAATTGAGGCTTCTCCCCCCCCCCCCCGCCCCATGTCTGATAGTTTTTCTTGGGGTATTCCCTGTTGTTGTTAATAGCCAGCAAAGCAGGATATTATGACACTTGTCTTGGTTGTGCTGAGTCCAAAAGCTGCTTGTTGTGGTAACACTCCCCCACTCAGATGCCTCTCTCCTCCAGGGAAAGCTTCATACCTTAAGATTGCTCCTGGTTGGCCATGAAGCATTGTGGCTAGGAGGTGGCTTTTTTCTCCCCAGAAAGGAATTTCTGCCTCTTCTACCTCAGTCAGCATTGTCCCTTGTTGTGGTTTTGTTTTTTAACCCAGTTTTCAGATCTCTCAGGGGAAATTGTTTCAAGAGTAGTTGTAAATTTATTGTGTCCATGGGAGGAGGTGAGTTCAGAGTCTGCCTATGCCGCCATCTTGACACCAGCCTCTTATTTTTCAATACTATTTTAGTTCTTCTGGGTCCATTACAATTCCATGTGAATCTTAGGATCAGCTTGTTCATTTCTGCAAAAAAGGCATTTGGCATTTTGATAAGGATGGCATTGAATCTGCAGATCACTTTGAAGGATTTTTAACAATTTAATTTTAACAATATTAAGTCTTCCAATCCACGAACACAGGATATCTTTCCATTTATGTAGATATTTAATTTCTTTCAACAATGTTTTGTAGTTTCTAGTATACAAGTCTTACACCATCTTGGTTAAATTTACTCCTAAGTATCTTACTTGTTTGATGCTATTGTAAATGGAATTCTTAATTTAACTTTTGGATTGTTTGTTGCTGGTATATAGAAAGACAACTGATTTTTGTTTGTTAATCTTGTGTGTATCCTGCAACTTAGCTGAATTTATTAGCTCTAATAGTGTTTATTTTGGATTCTTTAGGATTTTCTATATATAAGATCATGTCATCTGCAAATAGAGATAGTTTTACTTTTTCCTTCCTATCTGAATGCCTTTGTTTTTTTGAAGATTTTATTTTTCCTTTTTCTCCTCAAAGCTTCCTGGTACATAGTTGTTTATTGTTAGCTGTGGGCCCTTCTAATTGTGGCATGTGGGATGCTGCCTCAGCATGGCTTGATGAGTGGTGCCAGGTCTGCACTCAGGATCCGAACCAGTGAAACCCTGGGCTGCCAAAGCAGAGTGTGCGAATTTAACCACTCGGCCATGGGGCTGGCCCCCTGAATGTCTTTTATTATTATTTTTTTCTTGTGAAATTGCCCTGGCTAAAACTTCCAGTCCAATGTCTAATAGAAGTGGTGAGAGCAGACAGTTTTGTCTTGTTCCCGAGATAAGGAGAAAAGCTTTCAGTCTTTTGCCATTAAGTATGATGTTGACTGTGGATTTTTCCTAGATATTCTTTACCATGTTGAGGAAGTTCCCTTCTTTTCCCAGTTTGTTGATTATTTTTATCAGGAAAGGACATTGGACTTTGTCAAATACTTTTTCTGTATCAGTTAAGATGATCGTAGGGTTTTTTCACCCTTATTCTATTAATACAACATATTACATTGATTGACTTTTTGTAAACATTGAAGCACCTTTTTAATTCCTTAGAGAAATCCGACTTAGTCATGATATATAAATCTTACTGTTGAATTGGGTTTGTTAGTATTTTGTTGAGGATTTTGCATCTATATTTATAGGGGGTATTGGTGTGTAGTTTTCCTGTGATGTCTTTGTGTGACTTTAATGTCAGAGTATTGCTAACCTATTATAATGAGTTAGGAAGTATTCTTTTTGGTTTTTTGGAAGAGTTTGAGAAGGATATGTGTTAGTTCTTCTTTATTTGTTTGGCCTAATTTACCAGTGAAGTTATCTGGTACTAGGCTAACGTTTGTTGGATTTTTTTGCCTACTGATTCAATATCTTTTGTTTTTGAGGAAGATTAGCCCTCAGCTAACTGCTGCCAATCCTCTTCTTTTTGTTGAAGAAGACTGGCCCTGAGCTAACATCCATGCCCATCTTCCTCTACTTTATATGTGGGACACCTACCAGAGCATGACTTACCAAGTGGTGCCATGTTCGCACCCAGGATCCAAACTGGTGAACCCTGGGCCACTGAAATGGAACATGCACACTTAACAGCTGCACCACTGGGCTGGCCCCTGATTCAATATCTTATAATGGGTCTTTTCCTATTTTCTATTTCTTCTTGAGTCAGTTTAGTAGTTTGTTTCTTTCTAGGAATTTTGAAAATTTTATTTAGGTTATGTAATTTGTTGGTACACAGTTATTCATAGTGTTTACTTATAATGTCCCCACTTTCGTTTCTGATTTTAGAGATTTGGGTCTTTTTTTCTTGGTCAGTCTAGCTAGTGGTTTGTCAATTTTGTTGATCTATTCAAAGAACCACCTTTGGTTTCATTGATTCTTTCCATTGTTTTTTATTCTCAATTTCATTTATCTCTGCTCTATTTTTTTGTTATTTCCTTCCTTCTGCCTGCTTTGGGTTTAGTTTGCTCTTCCTTTTCTAAATGCTTAAGGTGTTTGTTTATTTGAGATCTTTTTAAAATTTTTACAGCTATAAATTTTACAGCTATAAAGGTCTTTACAGCTATAAATTTCCCTGTTGATTACTGCTTTTGCTGCCTCCCATAAGTTTTGGTATGTTGTGTTTTCATTTTCATTTGTCTTAGGTACAGACATACCTCATTTTATTGTGCTTCGCTTTGTTATGCTTCACAGATACTGAATTTTTTACAAGACCCTCCACCAGCAAAGGGATTATGACTTGCTTGAAGGCTCAGATGATGGCTAGCATTTTTAATCAATAAAGTATTTTTAAATTAAGGTATGTGCATTGTTTCTTATACATAATGCTATTGTACATTTAATAGGCCACGTTATAATGTAAACAAAACTTTTATATGGACTTGGAAACCAAAACATTTGTGACTCACTTTATTGCGATATTAACTTTATTGTGGAAGTCCAGAACCAAACCCGCAATATCTCTGAGGTATGCCTGTATTTTTAAATTTCCCTTTTGACTTCTTTCACCTGTCGGTTGTATAAGTGTGTTGTTTAATTTCCACATGTTTGTAAATTTCCCAGCTTTCATTCTTTCTTTGTTTTCTAGCTTCATTCCATTGTGGTTGGGGAAGATACTTTGTGTTATTCGATCTTTTTAAACTTTTTGAGAATTGTTTTATGGCCTAACATGGTTTATCCTGGAGGATGTTCCATGTGCACTTGAAAAGAATATATGTTCTACTATTGTTGGTTGGAGTGTTCTGTATATGTCTATTAGATTTACTTGGTTTATAATATTGTTCAAGTTCTCTGTTTCCTTATTGATCTTCATAATAAAAAGACACAGTTGATTCTTGTTATTCACAGTAGTTGTGTTCCATAAAGTTGACACAAACACTGAACTGGTGAATACTGAACTGTTATTCCTAGGAGAAATACAGGGTTAGGTTCCTGTGAGCCTCTGCCCACAATATTTTCATCAAGTGATCAATACACAATCTTGTTTTATGTGTGTTTCTGTTTAAGGACACCTTATTTAATATATATTGTTGATTCCTTAACATTGAGCTCACCACCGACAGCACTATAACTCATGCCTGAATGAAGCATGTATAACAAACCTATTTTCCCTGTAAGACATATCACAGCCTAGTTGGCAGTTCAGTCCTACACTAGGGGGCCCATTTTAAAGAGTAAAATTTCCAACAGAAAACACAAAACTATGAAAAATGTGGCACTAAATATACCGCAAAAAGGGAACTTGTTTACAGTATGAAAACTGAAACAAGAAGGCAGAGCATTGCCTTGTTTGACTTCAGCTGGGAACATGCGTGTCAGGCGACTCAGATTTTTCAGTGTGCTGCGTGTCTGTGAATGATCATGAAGGCACTGTGAGTATTGACTTTGGGGTCATACATAAATTTTAGCAAGTTAGGCAAACTTTCAATTACAGAATCCGTGAATAATGAGGACTGATTGTATAAAGAATAATAAAGATCTAAGACTAGGTTGAAAGCTATAATCTTTAAAGTTCACGTAAGAGAAACCAGAAATGCTAGAATATATACATATTTAGACAAAGTAAAGGATTAGTGACATGTGAGGGGCAAGACTGTTTATGAGATAAGCATATTGGCATATAGAAATAGGAAAACTTTATAATTTGATGGCTATGGAAGGTTCATTAGTGAACAACTCTAGTAGAAGGAAATGAAGATACAGCAGCAGAATAGAACTGAGCACCTCATCTTGTTTGGCCTAAACGCATGCTTTCTTTGGATGTTGGATTTACATGTGAATCTGAGCTAGAATGAGAATTACAGTCCACACAATAGGAATTTTCTTTTGAAGAGAAAATTATTGCTCTTTAGAATTTTAATTTGATGTTGGTAATGCACTTTTCTTTTAAGGAACAGAAAAGAGTGGTGGGAGATTGGAAGCATGTATAGTGTGAAGATTCTACAGTAGGAGATAAGGACAAAGATATTTATTTGCCTCTTCTAAACCTAATTTTATCTCTGATATTGCCCCTCTAAACTGTTAGCTACTGATTTTTCTTTTGACTCTACGTACTATTCGTTGCTTTGTTGTGTTTCCTCCTTCATGCCTCAAGCATTCATTCAAATAGTACCTTGTTTGTTATATTTTGTGTTCAGTTCACTTTCTCCATCAGATTTTGAAGGTCACATTTCTAAAGTGCCAAATTACTATGTTTTTATTGGCGGATTACTCTTTTCTTTTCCACTACTGCAGTTATTTGTTTTGTCCAATCCTAAGGGAGTGGGAGAAGTATGCCCTCAGGATTATTTTAGATCATAAGACTGGGCTATGCTAGGACATTTTTACATTATGTCACATTCCCAGATGAAATATATTAACATTTATAAGGCTTGATAAATTATTCTCATTTCTAGAATTCTGGGAAGTTGATGACCTCATGCAGAAGAACCAGGAAAACCAAGACCAGCATTTGTGGAAAGTTGATTTTGTCAATGATAAAACACTGACTAAGGAGAGAAATAGTGTATTAGGAAAAATATTTAATGTGGACACAAACCCTATTCCAATGAGAAAAGTACCTAATAAATATGACTCATGTGTAATGAATTTGAATTAGATTTCAGAATTAATTATAAGTAATAGAAATTCCTTTGTAAGGAAGCTTGATGAATTTAATGCACAGAGGAAATTGCTCCTCTGTACAAAGTATGAGCATTCTCATGCCAGAGAGAAACCTTTTAAATATGATAGAAATGGGAAAGCTGTCAGTCAAAATGAGGACCTATTTCAACATCAGGATATTCAAACTCAGAAGCAATATTTTGAATATAATGAATGTGGGAAAGCCTTCCGTGAGGAGGAAGACTTCATTACCCATAAGAGAGCATGCTCATGGGAGAAGTCCTGTGAATATAATGAACATGCGAGAAGCTTTTATGATGATTCAAACCTTCTTGTCCATCAAACTCTCACACAGAAGAATCACTGTGAATTTAATGACTGTGGGAAGTGGTCTCTTGGTGAGAAGTCAACTGTAAATAAACACCATAGAGTTGTCATAGGGAAGAAATAGTATGAGTGTGGGAATAATTTTGGCAACAAGCCACTCTCCACTAACACTGAGAGAACTCACAAAGGACAAACAACCTTTGAGTTTAATGAGGGAGGGAAAGTATTCAAGAAACCAAATCTCTCTCAACATCGGCAAACACACACGGAAAAGAAAACTTCTGAAAATAGTCAGTATGGGAAATCTTTTTGGCCTGTGTCAGTTCTTCCTAAACATCAGCAAACATGCATAGGAGAAAAACTCTATGAATGTAGTGAATGTGGAAAAACCCTCAGCCACAAGTCATCTCTCAAAGTACATAATAAGATACACAGGGGGAGAAACCTTATGAATGTACTGATTGTGGGGAAACTTTCACAAATAGGTCAGGCCTCACAGTTCATCAGAGGATACACACAGGGCAGAAACCCTATGAATGCATTGAATGTAGAAAAACCTTTAGATATAGGTCATGCCTCACAGGACATCAGAGAACACACAAAAGGGAGAAACCCTATGAATGTAATGAATGTGGAAAAACTTTTCTCTACAATTCATTCCTCATGGTACATCAAAGGATACACACAGGTATAAGACCCTATGAATGCAATGAATGTGGGAAAACATTCTCCAAAAAGCCAAGCTTCATTTATCATCAGAGAACTCATACTGGGGAGAAACCCTATGAATGTAATGAATGTGGGAAATCCTTCTCTGTGAAGTCAAAACTTAGTGTTCATTAGAGAACTCAAATGGGGGAAAACCAATGAGTGTAGTGAATGTGGAAAAACCTTCTTCCAGAAGTCATCTCTCATAGTACATCAGAGAATACACACAGGGGAGAAACCTTATGAATGTAATGAATGTGGGAGAAGTTTTTCCCAGAAGTCATCCCTTACTGTACATCAGAAATCACACAAAGAGGAGAAACCATTTGAGTGTATTCAATGCAGGAAAACATTTTATCAGAAATCACCTCTCACTAAACATCAAAGAACTCACAGAGGGGAGAAACTTCATAAATATAAGAATGCAGTAAGACTTTCTATCACAAGTCATCCCTTACAGTACATCAGAGAACTCACACAGGGGAGAAACCCTACAAATGTAATAAATGTGGGGAAACCTTCTACCCTAGGTCATCTCTCACAGCACATCAGAAAACACATACAAGGCAGAAATCCTGTGAATCTACAAATGTGGGAAAACCTTTTATCAGAATTGAGAGTTCACTAATCAAAGCAATTACACAGAGAAGAAATCCTCGTCGGTATCCTGAAAGTCCAGAAGCCTTTTCTTATTGACTTACTCGGTTTATATCAGAAATAGTGAAGGGGAGAAACTTAATAAATATGGGAAATCTTTTACCCAGAAATAAAGTGACATCTCACTGAACAGCAGATATTTGATAAGTTGGAACATCTTATGAATATTTTGAATAAGTTGTAGCTTTCAAAATAATTTATTCTTGATCATATATCAGAGGTTTTAGTTTACTGGAAATATACCAATTTGGAAATTGAGAATAAAAAACTTCCTGTAGAAATATTATATGAAAACTCTTGTTTCTGATATGATACTAAAATTGCTATTGAAAATATTCAGTTATAGACCTATTCATTGTGTGGTAGGAATCTAACTTTGAAAAAGCACAATTAAGTTGAATAATCACAAGTACTGCATTAAACACAAATGTGAAGAGTTACTGAATTATACTTTATAAGAAAAATATTGCATGTGTTGGTTTGCTTATTGGAACCCATCATAATCCTAGGTAAAATATACTCTTAGCTTAATAATTATTATGATGTATTTAAAGTTTCCCATACTTAATATTTGTGTCTTTTTCAGCCATAAGAACAAAATATGCATTTTAAACAAATATCTGTGGAATGTAAACTGATGTGCTCATATCTTTCTTGCTACTCTCTTAGCATATATACGTAAGTATGGTCACTGCTACTAAACTAACCTCGCAATAAAGAATCCAGACAGTGTGTTTGTAAATTTTTCACCTAATTCAGAATCAGCTAAGTGGAGTAATAAACTGTGCAACATTTAAGTGAAAAATTATTTAAAGGACTTTCACTTCCATTCGTGAACATCTGCAGGACTTGCTGTCTCACTGTAAACAACTGGAAAACTGGGCAAGATACATGAAATAACTAGAAAACTGGAAAAACATGAAACATCTGTTCTTAGCTTCTGGATATTAGAGGTTGTGCATCCATGTTTCCTGAGATAAAGGAAGCAAATATTATCATCCCTACCGTTGTTCCAGCTACTGTCAGGAGGAAATTCCCAGACCATGCATGGCATAGGTAGGGATAACTCCAAACATACTTTTACTCAATGAAGAAGACATATTTCAGAATTCAGCCAGCCCTGGGGGTCTAGTGGTTAAGATTCGGTACTCTCACTGCCATGGCCTGGGTTCATTTCCTGGTTAGGGAATCACATCACCCATCTGTTGCTTGTCACACTATGGTGGCTGTGTGTTGCTGTGATGCTGAAAGCTATGCCACTGGTGTTTCAGATACCAGCAGGGTCACCCATGGTGGACAGGCTTCAGCAGAGCTTCCAGACTAGACAGACTAGGAAGAAAGACCTGGCCACTCTCTTCCCAAAAAATTTGGTCATGAAAACCCTATGAATAGCAGTTGAGCATTGTCTTACATAGCACCAGAAGGTGAGAAGATGATTCAGAAAGACTGAGCAGGGTTCCACTCTGCTGTACACAGCGTCACCAGGAGTCAGAATCGACTCCATGGCACTAACAAAAACAAAATTTCAGAGTTCAGGGAGATCAAGGCAGCTCTACTGTGTGGAATAGAATGCTGGAGAGGGGGCTAGCGGAGAGAGCTTGAGTAATCTGAGTACTAGCCTGGACATGCAGATGGTGAGGCTCTGAGGCTCAGCAAAAATCAACTGCTGACAAAGTAACAGTTTTGGAGGGACTCTAAGACAATTCCCAGAGCTCAATACAGAGGTGGGAATTCTTCCACTTCCTACTAGCCAAGACCCCTCTTCCTTCAGATCCTAAGATCACAGTCTGTTCCCTTTTGGTATGGTTTTTGAAGACCTCATGGGTATGTTGGCAGTGGATAAGAGTTGGGGATGTTTGTGGTGCTACATTAGTCTTCTTGGGCTGCTATAACAAAATGCCACAGCCTGGGTGGCTTAAATAAAGACATTTATTTTCTTAGAGTTCTGGAGGCTAAAGTCCATGATCAAGGTGCTGGCAGATTCCATATCTGGTGAGGGCTCTATTTCTTCATATGACCTTTCCTCAGTGTGTGCACTTGGGGGGGAGAGAGAGTGAGCTCTCTGCTGTCTCTTCTTATAAGGGCACTTGTCCTATCAGACCAGGGTCCCACCCTTATGACCTCATTTAACCTTACTTACTTACTTAGAGGCCCTATTTCCAAATACAGCCACACTGGGGGGTCAGGGCATCCGCATATGAGTTTAAGAGGGCCTACAAACATTCAGTTCATAACATTCTGCTCCTGGTTCCTCAAAATTCATGTCTTTCTTGTATTTGGAACACATTCATTCCATCCCAATGCCTCCTAAAGTCTTAATTCATTCCTACATCAACTCTAAACTGCTTTAGGTCCAAATTAGATGACTTTTAGATATCATCTAAATCAGGTACTCTGAGACTTAAGGTACAGTTTATCCTGAGGCAAAGTTCCTCTCCAGCTGTGAACCTGTGAAACCTGACAAGTTCTCTGCCTCCAAAATACAATGGTGGGGCGCGCAAAGGATAGATAATCCCATTCTGAAAGGGAAAATCAGAAAGAAGAAAGGGGGGATGGGTCCCAAGCAACTCTAAAACCTAGTGAGGCAAATTCCGTTAAATTTTAGGCTCAAGAATAATCCTCATTGGCTTTCTGGACCCATTTGGGGCAGCAGACCTGCCGCCATGGCCCTAGGTGGCGGTGCCACCCCTGTAGTTGTGCCTGACAGTCCTGTTCAAGGATCTGGCATCTGCACCGTGTCCTGTTGAAATTGAAGAGGCAACCCTGATGATCTCTGAATTGCCTTCTGGGTCACTTTTCCCTTTGCTTGAATAATAGCTCTGTTGTCCTGTCCTTTAGAATCCAAGAATTCTGATAGACTTCCTTCATTTCATCTCATTTCTATTCCTTCAGTTCAAACTGACGTGTTTCTGCTCATGTAATCTCTTTATTGAGTGATAGTCCAGCCACACCCTCGGTGTTCTCTTTGGAATATGTTTTCTGATTTTTTTTTTTGAGGAAGATTAGCCCTGAGCTAACATTTGCTGCCAATCCTTCTCTTTTTTGCTGAGGAAGATTGGCCCTGAGCTAACATCCATGCCCATTTCCTCCACTTTATATGTGGGGCACCTGCCACAGCATGGCTTGACAATCAGTGTGTAAGTCCGCACCCAGGATCCGAACTGGTAAACCCTGGACCACTGAAGCAGAACATGCAAACTTAACTGCTGTGCCACCGGGCTGGCTCCTGTTTTCTGATTTTTTTTTTTTTCAGTATAGATGCTCAGAATTTTCCAAATCTTTAAGCTCTGGTTCCTTTTTGCTTAACAATTACTTCTTCAATTCATCCTTCTCCTCTCACATTTTACTATAAGCAGTTAGGAGGAGTAGGCTGCATCTTCAACATTTTGGTTAGAAATCTCCTTGGTTAACTATCCAGTTTCATCTCTTGCAAATTCTACATTCCACAAAACACTAGAACACGGTTTAGCCAAGTTCTTTGCCACTTTATAACAATCTCCTTTCCTCCGGTTTCCAATAACGTTCTTTTCTGTCTGAGACCTGACTAGGATGGCCTTTAACCTCCATATTTCTGCTAACATTCTGTTCATGATGATATATGTATTCTCTAAGATAATAGAGGCTTTCTTCTATAGCTTCCTCTTTTCTTTCTGAATCCTCACCAGAATTGCCTTTAATATCCATATTTCTACCAATGGTCCCTTGAAGGCAATTTAGGCTTTTATTTATTTATTTATTTTTTAACTTTTTCCTTTTTCTCCCCAAAGCCCCCTGGTACATAGTTGTATATATTTCTTTAGTTGTGGGTCCTTCCAGTTGTGGCACATGGGACGCTGCCCCAGCATGGCCTAATGAGCGGTGCCATGTCTACACTCAGGATCCCAACTGGCAAAACCTCAGGCTGCCAAAGGGGAGCGCATGAACCTAGCTACTCCGCCATGGGGCTGACCCCCAATTTAGGCTTTTTTATAGCACGTACCTCAAAACTCTTCTGGCCTCTGCCCATCACCCAGTTCAAAAGCCACTTCCATATTTTTAGGTATTTGTTATAGCAGCACCCCACTTCACAGTACCAAAATCCATTTTAGCCTGCTCGGGCTGTGATGACAAAATACCACCAAGTGATGACAAATGGGTGGCTTACACTGCAGAAATTTATTTTCTCACAGTTGTGAAGCCTACATATCCCAGATTGAGATCCTGGAAGATATGGTTTCTGGTGTGGACTGTTTCTTATTTGCAGATGGCCACCTTCTCACTATGTCCTCACCTGACTTTTCTTCAGTGGGTGCTTGCTGGGAAGTTGGGATGGAGGGAAGGAGAAAGAGATTGAGAGAGATCAGAGAGATCTCTGTTGTTTTGTAGGGGTATTAATCCTGTCAGATAAGGGCTCCACCTTTATGACCTCATTTAACCTTAATTACTTCTTTAGAGGCCCCATCTCCAAATACAGTTGTACTGGAAATAGGGCTTCAACATTCATATGTTGAATAATTTGGGGGGAACCCAAACGTTTGGTCCATAATAGATGCCTAAAATCAGCCTTCTTGGCTCTGGAATATCCAATTACTTCCCTCCCAACAGCCCCCACCCCCATAGGAGTCTCCATTGGAGCTTCATCTATAAATGGGTAGAAATACACATCTGGAAGAGTGGAACTGACCCCTGAGCAAACCTTCATTAATACACTGTCTAACAAGGTATCCCTCTGCCTACTACCAGGGAGCTCAAGAGAGGGGGTGCAGACCTTCTGACTGCACAGTTCCAACTCAGTTCCTGGATATAGTCATGCTCTACAGTCTCAGAGGACCTTATGCAACTCACTTCACATTTCAGTGCTCCCATCCCTCTCTCAATGGTGATAAGTACTTATGTGCATTTCTTATAGCTACTTATATATGCATACCTACTATGCACCACATCCATCCTAGGAATGCCAAAATTCAAATTTTACTGAGCTGAACATGGTAGATACTGGTGTCCCTGTGATAAAGTT